TTTAATTCTTGGTTAAATCTGTACTGTTGAAAAAAAAAAAAAAGTCATTTGGGAACAGCCACATGTAACAGTGAATAGAATAAAAGTTTCACTTATATGGAATAACTGACCATTCCAGTGAAGTGGCAGCACATCGGCTTCCCAGCTAACAGGGAAACCCAGGCAACAGCAGAAGAGCATAGAGTGTGTTAGTATTCCCTCTCAGAAACAAACTGCAAGTTCAAAATAATCTGTCACTCTAATTCCACTGCCTATAGATTAGGAACCCTAACTACTGGGGACCTTTTTTTTGAGTATACAGTCACAGAATCACAGAATATCCTGAGTTGGAAGGGATCCAAAGGGATCAAGTTTGGCTCCTAAGTGAATTGAATGTATGGGGATTGAACTGCAACCTTGGCATTATCAGCTCCAACCAACTGAGCTAATCAAGAGAGTCCCAGCTTGGCTCCAATTTTCTCAAATGTACATGTATTTAAAATGCTGGAATACATAAACACAAGCCTAGATTTCTGTGCTTGCAAGAAGCTGCCTTCCTCAGTGTAAGAATTGCTATTACACACCGCTGTACTTCAACAGTAGCTTCATTTCACTCCCATTTGTCACTTCTGCATTTCCAGCCCCACTGTTGCTGCCTGGCTCAGTGAACGCACGCTAGATTGCGGATTTCCAATCCAACTGTATCCTTCAGAGTACATCCAATTGCTATGTTCCGAGGAATGATCTCCCACAAGATTTGCAATTCATCCCTGTCTACCTGTATGATATCCCAGAAAACTAATCTGCAGGATGACAGCTCATTCAGCACTCTGGAAATTTACCCACGCTGAGCTCCTCTTTAAATAATGGCCTGACATTTGTTCTGTAGAGGGAGACAAAGCCCAGACTGATGAAAACAGTTGGCAGCTGCTTTCATTTGTGCCATTCAGAAGCCAGATGATAATTTGTCCTCGGGGACCCCTCACTTCTTGGCAGACAGGACATGTCCACTGCACTTTGCTATTACTTTTGCTGTTACCTCCCACCCCCAGTGCATGCAGCACACAGAGAGTCAATATTCAAGGCAGACTAAACTAAAGCTGATTGCCAGGAGTCATGAAGGATTTAATGATACTGAGAACTGGGAGGTAAGATCACAGATGAATGTGGTGCTGATAAATACAAAAAAGTCAATATTGGGAAAGACAAATTTGTTAGACCCACAGAAAAGTTTAAATTACCTATTGCTCAGAAAATTCCAGCCTCCCTGAACACAGCTTAATGAAGACATTGCTAAGCAATGATGGTCAAAAAGGCAGATGATTCCAAACTAATAGGCAAGCACACCAAACCAGAAAACATTATTCCAGATGAATTGTGAGTTCACCTTTTGCATACAGTGTGGAGCTCTCGTTCCTTTAAATTAGCTAGAGCAGAATCATGAAATGTACAGACAAGGGTGACCAGGATAATCAGAGCATCTTCCATACAGGCAGAGATTAAATAAATGAAGACTTTTCAGCCTGGAAAAAAGAGGTTACAGGGAACTGATAATAATGTTGGTACATAAAATCCTAAATGGGATTAAGGAGAACAGATGCAATTACTCATTATTTCTCACAATACAAAACCGGAACACATAAAATGAAGCGCTTACATAGCAGGTTGCATGAAATAATCACCTAACAAAGTATTTTTTCCACACTGCCAATACTTCACCTGTAGCATTTACTGTCAAGGGATGTTATGAATGGTAATAATTTAGAATGGTTAAAGATATATTTACCTTGGACAAAAAAATTACGAAATGCTTCTCCAATACTTAAAAACACTACATAAACAAATAGGGCTGTCCACACCTTAGCTGTGGAAGAGCAGTAGCAACAACAGTGAAAGAGAGACAACTCTATGTATTTATATTCATGCCTGTGGTCCTATCACATCTTACACCTCTCTAGATGCAGAGCCTGTGGTCACCCAGAGGTGAGAAGATAAGTATATTTTTCATATTGCACCTCTTATTCTATCTGTTCCTGGCAGTTATTTCTCAGGATCTCCCAAATTGTTACTACTACATTGGATGCCATCTATTCTACCCAGCAACAAAGGCAGTCATAACTGCACTCCAGAGGCATGTATGCAGAGACAAGCTGAAGCTGGTTTCCCTCTTTAAGGATAAAAAAGCAAAAGCAAATGTTCCAGCATTATCTTCCAAGTGCACTATCTGCCCTGGCACCTAAGCTCAATGCATTGAAGAGTTAAACATGTCCAGTTCTCATCAACATCAGCAAAGTCAGGCAGCAGTACAAGCACCCATGCTGTTGTTTCAATTCTTCCCTTAGAACAGGTGCCCTATTCCATGATGTGTCCTGCTGTCGTGGGACCCTCTGCAGCCACTTTCAATCAGGGTTGGTTAGTGAAGGAAAGGGAGCCATGGTTCAGCCTTGGAAGTTACAGTGCAATACAAATGCAAGTGGTGCCACCAAGGAGTCGAAGGGACACTACACAAAGCAGCACCAAGTTCTCAAATGCATCTGTTTCCCTGGCTATAGCATGGACTGCAGAAACACAACACTGGCTTACAGCTGAATCAAATCTCCTTTTAGTCACGCTACTGTCACTGGCCTTTGAAACTGTTTTAGTTCAGGATGCCTGCATAAGCCTTCCTTCTTTCACATAAATATCCAGTGCTAATTTTTGCTGAAGAAAACGCAGGCAAGACGGAATTCACTGTTCAGTCTGAAGTCAGGAGTCCTTTGCTGCTCGTGCCCATGCAGACGAAACCACAGGGGTAGAAGACCACAAGATCAATGTAGAAGCTGCTGCGGGCTCAGCTTCCTCCCCACAGTGCTGTGGTGACCTGGGCAGGGCCATGGGGAAGCCGCGCAGCCAAGGCTGCCCTGTGGCTCAGAGCTGCACCCAGCCAGCACCAAGCCCCTCAGCCAGAGCCCTGCAGCTCTCCTGTCACGGTGCAGGCAAGTGAGAACACTGCTGAGAGGACACAAACCTGGGTCCCACAGGTGAAGAAAGGGAGAAGCTTGGTCTCACTTTCTGCAATACCATGGCCACAAACAGGCTGGTACAGAGCAGGAACTGGTGTGCCACAAAGCGTGGAAGACTTTCCTCTTCCCCCCAAGAGACAGGGAGGGAGCAGAGCACCAACCACACACGGTTCAGTTGCTGCTTTCCTTATGAGGCTGTGCAAGCCTGGCCCTTGGCTTGGGGTACCCTGCAGTCTTGCTTTCTATGACTCCCTTCCCTTCCTGGCTGTAGACTTGGAACAATCACTATTTTAGAAGTGATTGATCAGTGAGACTGTCTCCAAGTAAGGTGCACCACACATCACTAAGACAACACAGAATATGAAGCAGCTCACCAAGAACATGTTAGCACAGAAATAACAAGGCTAATATATAATTGCCTTTTCATAGTATGAAATATATTTCTTTTTAATACACTTATATTTACTCATCCCGTCTCATTTGATACGATTTGCTCTGAATGTAGCCACCACTTCAGTTGAAAAGGTGTTTGCCCCTCTCTGTTCCTCAGCAGTGTCACAGCTCAAAGGCTGGGACAGCCGGTTCCCACATGAGATCTCCTTCTGTCAGATCATTACAGAAACCAGCTCGGGCAGCTTCCCAGACAGGTGCATGTGTTCCCCCACAAATCCCAAAGACAATAGAAAAGCCCATCCAAAATGGAGAGGAAAAGGGGATGTGCAGTATTTTCAGCTGATGTCACTTCAGTTCCCTTTTCCCCAAATACAGAGCCCAGTGATAAGAAGATGAAACAGAAAATTAAAACTGTAAAAGAGGATCAGTTCTGTGATTTGGTAGTCTCCAGTATTCCCCCCAGCAGAGCCAGGAAGGAAATGGTTTGAAACTCCAGATGCTCTTTGCAACTGATATTTTGAATATATTTCCAGCAGGGATTTCTTCCCTCCCCATGAAAACAGACACACATTCTCATTTAACAACTAATTGATTTATTTAACAATACAAATTTCTTTCTACTGCATGGTTTAGCAGAGAGAACTTGAGAAACAAAATTAGCTTCTTCTCTTTTTTTTTTTTAAAGTTTAAATGTTTACACAAAAACAACCTTTACTTCAGTAAATATAAAATTTACACACAAAAAACTACATTAAAAAAGAACATAATCATGACAAACCAACCAACCAAAAAAAAAAAAAAAAAAAAAAAAAAAAAAAAAAAAAAAAAAAAAAAAAAAAAAAAAAAAAAAAAAAAAAAAAAAAAAAAAAAAAAACCAACAAAAAAAAAAAAAAAAAAAAAAGAAGGATGGGAATTCAGTGTAAAGGATCCAATTGCAAGGAAGGCAAGATGGGGCAACACTAACAAGGCATCCCATTTGTACACCTAGGTATCTGAAGTTGTAGGTACAATACAAAACCAAAATATATTAAAATTAGAATTAAAACCTGCATTTTTATACCATATTATATTATGATATAAATATCTGTAAATTCTGTAGGCAACACAGTTAATGTGTGAAATACACAGTTTGCTCTCCACTGGAAGGTCACTGGAGTGCTGCAGGAGCACCGTGTCACCCACGAGTGCACTAATGGTCAGCAGGGAGCAGACTCTGACGTCCAGCCCAGCTGTGATAGCCCCTTGTTTCTTTGCCAATCTGTGCTATTTCTCACACATCCAATGATGTGATGAGAAACTCTGGTCACCTTCAGCAGTGATTTCCAGCACTTCATCTCCTGGCATCAGTGTGTTACCTGACTTAGGCATATTCACCTGCCAGATCCCATTTCTCATTCCCTTTTGCACTTTATAACCTGAACTCTAAAGCTATCTTGTAGCTACCAAGAGAGACTGGCTTCTAGGTCAAGATATTTGGGATACACAGTTCTTCAAGCCACCTTTAGGAATCTGTAGAAATACTTAAAGAAGGGTGGACAATTCATGGTCTAAGGTTATGTGATACAAAAAACAGGGACTTGTATAGTGATGGTTAACTTTATATCTAAATCTTTAGCATTTTTTCTGTTGCTTTAGTATTTAAACTTAACATTCAGATTTCATATATTAATTGAGCAGAGCATCTTATTGATGGAAGTGCTACATTACCTCCAAAAACACCAGATAGTAAGGGAGACTGTGAAGTTTAAAATTAAGTGTAATTTAAAAAATCATTTAAAGAAATCAAGTCTCTTTTTTTTTTTTTAATAATCAATATTGTGACTGGCAACCTATAAAAGCTTAAATTATAAAACTATTAGTGACTCTACTTTTTAAACTGTATGTACTATAAAGCTGTATTTTTGTTACTTACAGATGTTACAAAATTTCCAAGTCAGAAAGTGAAGGGGGAGAAAGGAGTCTAAAATAGTTTTACAGATTCTGTTTTTACTTACAAAGATTCATTTCCCCGAAACTGTTTTTATGTCAGAAAAATCTGATTAAATTTATTATATTCATCTCTTTTCTGGGCAGACGATACAGTGTTCAATCATGCTTTGGACGACCTTTTTCAATGGGTAACTGTAGTTCTCTAGATCAGCAAGTCCAACTTGCTTTACTCAGAAACAAAAGCACCAAACTATCCCTAAACTTGGCCCTGGTCCTGAAAAAGAAGATTGTAGCAAGACTGAGACAGGCTGTCCTGAGAGCAGGACTGTCCCTGAAGCAACCAGCTACATTAACTTCTGGAGCATGCATATGCAATGCTCTCTTTTGCTTAAAATGCAATTTTAACTTAAGAAAAAAGTACTAAATTTAAGAAAATTGTAGAAATTTCACTTGTTCTGTTAAAAACAAAACAGGGAAAACTTAAACAATCCACAGGTGTGCATTAAACGTTTTACAGCAAACCCTTGCTTATGTATATTAATTTAAAGATAATCCACAGGGATCTGTGATACATTGGCCCTGCCTTGTTACTATAATTAAATTTATTAAAATATTAATTTAAAATAGGAAAACAAAGAAACTACTCCATGGGGAACATGTTTATTGTGTTTGAGATGATACACTGGGTGCTCTCTGAGCTACAAAGGGAAAAAGGAAATCCTTTCATTACAAACTGACAAAGGTAAAAGTTAAAACAGTTTTCACAACAGCATGTACCACATATTGGAAATAGATCTGGGTTTAATACAAATGACATAATTCCTAGTAATCTACAGCTACCTTTAATAACTTCATACAGATAATGAATTAGGCTAAAATGCACTATAATATTTGGTTGACTTCAGGAACAGTATCCTTAGTACATCACAAAATACATTTTGATATCCCAAAGAAGCAAGACTTGCAAGTAGGCATTTTAAACATAACTAATCTACAGCTACAAACTTCTACTCTTGATAGCATTTACCTTTTTTGGGGGGCAGTATCCCAGTCTTCAAAAGGATAAAAGCAGAGTAGAATCAGTATAACATATACACAGAAGTCCGTATTGTAAAGGCTATAAAGATTTGTTGCACACTGCAAAGTTGCCTTCTGCACCTTCACACTGCACAAGTAGTTTGTCATTTATGTTGCATATCTCTTGGTCCACTGTCTGGCTATCCTGTCATGTTCTGCTCTGTTGGTCAGGTACTGAGTGGCTATGCTTCCAACCAGAGGGTCAGCTGCAAAAGGCAGGAGAAAATGCATCAGAAACCATTAAACAACTAAAATAATAAAAAAAACAAACCAAAATGAACATATGATTTAAAATGATTTAAAATGATTTAAAATACAGCATCCTTTCCAAAATAGAGTTATAGAGGAATGAATCTTGCCCCACTCAGGTGCTCTGCTTTCTCTCCTGTGGAAGGGCCACTGGGTGGAGGGGCCATTCAGTGAGTGCTGCCTGGTGCACTCCTGTCACACACCTGCACAGGACCTGTGTGTGTGAGGGCATCAGGGCTGCAGCACCACACCGAGGGGACACAGTTTGCTTCAAAAGTCATCAGACCTTTGTACCAAAGAGGTTCATGCATTTCTCCCTGACCATGAGCACTTTCTGTATTGTCACCTCAGCACTACTGCTCAGTTCCTGCCCTCAGTTCCTGCAGGCAATTGGCATTCATTGCATAATGACACTGGTGGCACAGTTGTTGCTGAGAAGCCGTACAGCTTCCAGAGGAGTTCCTTCCCTCCCAACAGGAACAAGGAACTCTCTTTGAAAAAGGGAGAAATCTCCCAGAACATCACCTCCCTCATATTTGCAAGATTAAACCTTTAAATTGCTGTTTTAAGAGAAGAGACTTCCTGTGGCCCCTTCTGACATGCAGGATTTATGAGTTTATAACTCAAGAGAATGTTGTTGCTTTCCTGGATCAACCACTCACTTGCTGGAGCTCCTGCAATACAGACCTTCAATGACATCAGCTCATTTTCTCCATTATACCTTGGGAAAAAAAAAGACTTAATGCTATTCACATTCTGTTGGGATACAGGAGTGAGAGGCACCATTAAATGTGGGACACCACATCCAATCAGGAGTGTTTCATCCTAAATTTTAAAAATACTAAATTTTATTTAATCCACATGCAATCAAATAGACAAATTACACTCCATAGCAACTGAGTCAAACGACCAAGAGCAGACACCCAGTGAACTATCAGCTCCTTACCTGGGTTGCAGTCTGTCAGAAGAGAACAAATAGACAGAAGAACCTTTGAAATAGTCAAAGCAGGGCTCCAGTTGTCTTTCAGGATGTCCAGACAGATGACTCCCTGACTGTTGATGTTGCAGTGATAAATCCTGGTACGGAAAGTAACCTGGAATCACGACATGAGAGACAGGGAGAGAGTCATTCAGGGCTGCACAGGATGGTGCCCCTTGGCTCTGAGCAGCCACAGCACCCATGGTGCTCCCAGTTCTGCAGAGCTTCTGTGGAGGCAGCTCCACTCTGCTCATCTTCTCAACCACAACTGTTTGAAAGAGGAGCGAGCACTGACTGCAGCCATGGCTGCCCCAAAGAAACCTACCATGAAGAGATTAGGTGCACAAACTGCTTTCACACAGGTCCTCTCTCTGGTACCCACAAAAAATTTAGGATCTACTTTATAGTACTGTAGGTATTTAACAAACACATTGCATGTCAGGAATGTTCTGATCACAAATGTAACTTTACTGTGGTTTCTGAAGGTGAAGAAGCTGACAGAATTTGTCTGCATGTGCAGTCTAAGTTGATCTTTTTCTTTCTTTCAAAATCCTAAATACAGACCACGAAAATATTAAAATAATAGCATTTAAAAGTCGAGTATTGTATTGTTCTTGTTAAATTAGCAATGAAATATTTGTCTTACCCTTCATTAGGCAGGATATAATGTACAGCCAAAACAATGCTGTTACACTAACTAAATCCATCCTGGTTTTAAATTATTTCAGAGTAATATCAATAGAGCATGTGAGCATTATTCTGCACAAATAACTATTTGAGTGCTTTAATTACACAAAGCACGAGAAGATAAGGAAATTTTTCTTTTTCAAAATGATGCAGTGGGCGAAAACTACAATGTTTCCTGAAAATTCAAAAATTATCATGCTCTAAAAAAAACCCCCAAAACCTTCAAGATTTGAATGAGGAATTTGTCTAAAACTCTGCATCATCATTTCATGATAACATTCTTAACTCAGAACATATTAAATGGTGTGGGTTTCAGAGAATTGTGAAATATAGAGAGTGTATATTATTCTTCATGCTGCAGTCACTCTGGGAATGAAAAAAGGTATTTGATTTATAACAATGTTAGAGCCACAAAAGCCATTAAGTTGTACAATGTTGTGTGGTAGAATGTATTTAGTTTTGTGAGTATCACTAGTGTTTTTTCTGGTGACTTGGTCAAGAGTTGTAATTCATCAGTAAGGAAGGGGAGAAGGGAAAAGCTTTAATTTCTTTGATATCATTACTAAATTACAATTTGTTAAGTGTTCATACTATTTCTGATCCAGGAATTGACATTTTAAGTTAAGATTAGTTTAATTTAATAAAAAGAGCTTTTGTTTAAAAATATTATCAAACAAGTTTTGTTTGATATCTTAGCAGTAGTAAATAGACATCTTAGCAGTAGTAAACAGATATTTTATAATAATGGAAATCATCACAGCGATTTACCCAATTTGGAGTCACAATATAACACTCTAGTTGTCTATGTAAACTTATTTTAGCTTTCTAATATTTTGCTAAAAATTACATGATAATATTTAATATAGAATCTGGCTTATAACAGAAAGATTTTACTATACATATATTTTTGTAGTTGGAATGAGAAGAAGCAAGCATAAGGAGATCTTGTGTTGTTTACTACTAGAATTAAAATTTCTTGACTCTTACCTCTTGATCAGAATTATCATCTCATTTACCACTTGGTGAAGTTTGGAAATGGACTGTGGTAATGAGGAAATAAATTAGACAAGATTTTTCTGAGACTGCAAGCCAAGATTTTGGACCTTGTAGTTTTCAAGAGACCATAAACAAATCTGATATTCAGAAAGCGATGTGCACTCACTTGGCTGCAAGTTACATTCTCCTCATCTGTGAAAAAATGGTAAACACAGTAAAAACCTTACCCTTACCTTTGGTGGCTTGAATGGATAGTCAGATGAAAATGTGATATCCAGGAAAAAAACACCTCCTTCATATACAGAACCTGGAGGTCCAAGAATAGTAGATCTCCATTCATAAATGTTATCTCCTTTAGGACCGGCACTGCATAAAGAACAAAGAGGAGAGAAAAAGAAAGTCAGATGTACCTTAGAGAGAGGCATTTTATGGATTTCCTTCTCCATTCCATTTTGTTCTATAAAAAACACTTGCCTATCTTTCACATCTGCCTAACTTCCAGCTGGTTTCAGCGGGCTCAATGTTTTACACTGGCACCAAAGCTGGGTGCTCTGCAATCCCTTTGGAGATATAGTAATGAAACAGAGTGATTGTGAACTACTGAACTTCACTGTCTGAAACAGATGCCCAGATCTGCTTCTTTGAGTATGTGGTTGCTCTGAGGTTCTACATCACACCCTTCCAGTGACATAATACTCATACACAAAGGAGATGTACATCTTGACCACATTCATCTTCTCCAAGCATTTAACAGATCACACCTTCATAAAAAATGGGACTTTCAAGTACATTGATACACATTTATTGTCACTTGTTTCATAGGCCAGAGTGAAATGTTACACCCTTGGGCAGCAACACTAGGGAAGGGAGAGAGAATCAAGTAACATGGAATTGAGCTTCTTACAGCACTGTCATTCCAAATAACTGTTTTCTTCAGGATATATTTGTGTTATGCCTCTGGGCAATCGGCAATGAGACAAAGAGCCAAAAATAGTTTATTTTAAGAAGTACAATACTGAATGCACTTCTCACTAGGGAAAAGGTTATTGCATAATTAATTTTTAAAGTAAAGTTTTGAAAGAAGGGATAATGAACCAGCATTTTCTTGACTTCTGAGCTATCATTAATGCTATTATCATACAGTAACCATCTAACCTTCTTGCAAAAAAAAAAAAATCAAATATGCAAGTAAATCTGGATAGAAACTAACCGAACCTTCCACAAAAGGGCCTAAATCCAACATCCTGAGATCCAAACTGACTGCTATGGGAAACAACACTGCTGAGCTCACACAGACATGGTAAATTCATCACATCTATGTCAGTAAGTCAGTAACATAGCACTGTAAAAGATCTTTTCAATTCTCCCCTCCTCAGCAGCTTCCCAGGCCCCACCTACATCTCACAGACAAATGGTGAAGTGTCCTCATCCTTCCCTCCCTGTGCTCCCAGGGAACAGGCACAGAGGACTGTCATATGTGATTGCACATGAAGCAAGCGACAGGGCACGGCACCACACTGTAGCCTGGGAGTTTGTGGATTCTGGAATTGCTCAATACTCAGAGGAGCCTCCCTGCAAGACCTCCAAGTGTTAAGGCTCTTCCTATGTAATGTCACCTCACATATTTGTCATACATACGTTTGCAGTCTGTAACACGGCATGTTGGACATTCATCCTTACTGTGTAGTCAAATGTGGAGACAATCATCAGAGACAAGGAATATGAGCAGTCTGCATTATGCATCTGCAATCCCCACACCAAAAATTTAGCTATTTTCACTTTAAAATCATATTTGAGAAAAAACCCAAAAGCTGAATTTTGATTACAAATTCCCTTTCAATTCCTAATTTTCCAAGATGCTTTTTATTTTGTAGACATTTCACGTATCAAATGTTGCAAGCCTTTCATAAACAGGACAAAAAAATCATAGAATTTGGCTGACATCCTATTTAATTAAAAACAAAATATTATTTGATGAAGCAGTAGCTATTTTCCTGTTGCCAAAATGAAAGTGGGTAACAATGGAGTGCTGGCCTCCAGAGGACAGTTCAGAAAGAATAACTTCAAGTGATGTCAAAATAAAGTTCGGGTCTAAAATCACTCACCTTTCTATTTGCAATGCATGCATACAAGTGGAAGAAAAATATTAGATAATTTTTTTGTGATATAATGAACCATTTGTACCGTCAGTCACTCCAAAAGATAATTTTATTCACGCTCCCTAAAAAGCAATTAATGTAAGAACTGAAAATATTGGGGCAATAATGACAACATTTAAACCCATACAGGCCACTGAAATGTTTAGATTAATTCTTGACACTCATCAAACATACAGCTAATTAGTATTGTCCTTGAAAACCAAATTTCTATGGAGCAATTCAGTTTCAGCATTATGTGTCTCAACAGTTTAATGCAGAGGTTAATGCTCTTGCCCTGTGTGTCAGGTACCTTGCTTTCATACACCTCTAACAGCTGGATGCAATTCAGTCAGAATAATGAAATAGATGAATTAAATCAGTGATATATCTCAGCCCAGTGAATCACTCACAATTAAGTGTGGTACCAGTACGGTGCCAAACTATCTGGAAGTCACTTGCCCAGTCAGAGCAGCGGCATCTATCAGCTGGTAGCCACAAGGTAAGTGCAGTGGCTCTCTGCCTGCTCTGCCTGCTCTGCCTGCTGCCCTCCTCCACTCCCACGAGCAATACATAAAAGGATCGGGCCATAAAATGAGAGAGGTAACAAGGTCCCAGCCTTGTAAGAGGAAGAAAACGCTGTGTTTGAAACCCATCCTAACTGCTGAGGAAGAATTTCTGCAATGTCAACAGAAACTTAAAACTGTAACAATAACCACATTGAGACACAGGAGAAAATTTTAAGTGGTAAATCATTACATCTGAATGAGGTTTGAGAAATTTCTACTTAACAGCTGGTGTCTCACTTTCAGTGGTGTAAAAAGTACCCCTGCTTCATTAGCAGCCTGAAAATCACTGCAATTGCTACATTATTGGTGTAAGAAGACACACACACGACATCACAGTAGGCTTCTACAACCTGTGTAGTTCCACTAGGGATCACCCTCAGCCAGCCATACTCAACTTTGTTCAACTCATATCTCAAAAGAGATACCAAGGTAATCTCTTTTGGATGTAAACAAACCCACACTCTCTGCAACTCAGCAGAAGATACCAGACCTATTCATGGCACTCTCAGCCTCTACAGTGATTTCCACAAGGACAGGACAGTGGGGTTACTCCCACTTGGATGACTGCAGGCAGAGTGGAAAAGTGCAGTCCTGCCTCAGGCCACACCTCGGTTGAGCACCGAGCTGCAAGACAGTGTCACTGCCTTGACTCTCCAGACTCTCCCATCACCCAAGAGCATTGCCCCAGGGCTGCAGAAAGACACAAGGAGGGAACTGCCACTCCCTGGTTTCCCACAGAGAACAGCAAAAAAAACTCAGGCTGAAGACTGTGAATAAGGAAGCTTTACCTGTCCTCAATTTTCTATTTCTTTGATACACCCAGTAGAAATACTGTCCTCCTGTTGGGCACTGAAGAGGCTGGTACAGCAGACACTTGTAGGGGCTGTCCTTGAGCTCTTCATTCCCAGAAGCTCTCCTGGTGTTCAAGACACTCACTGTCCTATTGCAAGCATAGGTTCAAGCATCTCACCTTAAACCCTGAGAACTGTGATGAGTGACAGCCTAGGACTCTTTCTCACTGTCTGCCACACTGGACAGAACACCCCAGGCAGAGCACTACAATGGGGAGCTTACGTGGGTTTTCTCCTCTTCTCCTTTTACCACAGAAAGATCCAGCTCTTTATGACTTCCCCCACGGACTCCATATGAACACAAAACTCTCTCCTAAACACAAAATCTTAATGGAGCAAGATCACTGTCTGATGACAACTTCAGTGTTTCAGCCACACAGCACATCTGTGCAGCACATTGCTGACAGCCTGCTGCCTTCCTAAATTAGCTTACAGGACATCACAAATCCGGTAAAGGCACCAGCAGTATATTCTCAATGAAAAACCCATTTGCTTAATTTTTTACAATGTGGGTTAAAAACATCTCGGACAAAATAACAAAGCAATTTAATGACAAAATATTATTTGCAAAATTATGAGATTTTACTTCACACATTAAGGCTGGATTGATTTTTAAAAATAGATGAAGTTAACTGGCTGCATCTGCTTCCTAAGTAAATATTCATTACGCCACTTTATTGAGGGATGTATACCTGATCCAGATAAGACAAAGGATTTATAACCATGCCCTAGCCAAGCTAGTCCACCGAAGAGATTTAATTTACAAGTGTGACTTCAGATTGTGAATTTGAAAAGATGTGAGGTTAAACCACGGGTTCACACCAGGTCCTTCAAATCTAACTCTGCTGAACCCTGGCTCTCAAGTTTCATGAAGATGAAGAACAGCTTTTCCAGTACAGTGTAATGAGCATTCACATGGATGCAGTGGCATTCACACCAGCCTGTTAAGACTCCTGACGCAGTGGTTACAGAAATCCAAATTCAGCTTTTGTTACAATTCATTAAATCAAAATGCATTGAAGCTGCCCATATGGAACTAGCTGCAGGATGAGAAACTAGGACAAGAAATTTCTAATCTACATGATGCTAGTAGCATGTTGCTTTCTGCACTTGCTAAATGTGCTTCTGTCAACAGCACTCCTCTGAAACACGAGGCTCTAAATTTGGCAACAGAATGAAATTTCATAATACTGAGACTGTGATAATTAAGAAGAAAAAGAGTGAAAGAAAATGTAATTTAGCTAGATTTGATATTAACTCTGTGTTATGCTTTATTATGATACAGAATATGGATCTGTAATAGGATTCAGTTGGGAGTGGGTGTGTTTGTTTTTTTGGAAGCTTCTGACAGTGAAGTCTGTCAGACCCTAAAACATTCATATGCCATTGGTACCACAAAACTAAAGTACTAGTCTACATCTCAAGAAAATCATCAGGGGTGCCCACATAGCACAGATTAAAGTGGTGGAGTATTTCCCCACATTCTCCTCTCGAAGGCTTTGCCCTTAGGTCTGATACTCAGGCAGACAGAATAACAGAACCATACAGGCTGGAAAAGACCTTTAACCATCACAAAGACAGCAGCTAACAAACCAAATGGGGCACCTGGAGTGAGAGTTAGGTAGGAAAGGAGCTACCTCCATCCTTCCCAAACGTTTATCCCAAAATGAGATTCAGCAAAATTCCCGAAGCCCTTCACAGTCTGCTCAATTACAACAACTCTGTCACAATAGCATAATTATAATTTTTACAGCAATCTTAGTGAAGACAGTGTTTAAGAGTGGAAAGAGTTTTTTTTATTATTTTTTTTA